TCAAGGTAAATTTGAAAAATTCGGTAAATTTCGCATTTTTATTTCCAATACGTCCTGTAAACTATTTGTTTATTTTAATTTTATTATATCAGAAATGCAAATAATAAAATTACTGACGATGGCTGGATAAAATTGTAATATCCCTAGACTTTTCTGGTGTGTGTATATACTACCATGAACTGCCCATCATGTTCGACGTTTGGCAAATTCTTGGTAGGAGGGTAAGAGACCGCAAAGCAGTATCAGATTCATGAAATGAACTTCGCTTGGTTCTTAAAGAAGAATGAGAAAACATAACGCAATATGATACATGCAGCCTCAATGAGAGTAAGAATGGACGTATACAGGCAGTTATAGCATCCAGGGGAGGCAATACAAAGTATTAGGGTATTTTTTACAATATTTTTTTCTGTTGTATTACAGATATTTTCTTTAATATCGTTCTGTCATCATTATTAATGTTTATTGAAACCCGGACTGTATCATTAGTCTTTAACGTTTTTTTTTAAATTTAGTATAGACTATCCAATGCAGTGTAATATGACGTTACGAGAATAGTCAACAAAACCATCTCGTCAGATTAAAAAGTTACATCAAAAAGTAATGATGATTAAAAAAATTGCAAATTGATCGTCATCAGCTGATTTCACTCTTAAAAATTAACCAAAGCATGTATTGACATGAATCAATAAACATAATACTCAAGAGCCATGGTACTGACCGTAAAATTATATTTTAGGAAAATTTACAGACGAAATTATTGCACAGGGTGTTTTAAAATTAGGCTAAAGAAACAACCCCTCGATTAACCCTGTATAATATGCCAAATACTAAAGTTTATAAAAAGCTAAGTTTACGAATTAAAGTTGATACAATTATATACAACTTGTTAAAAAATTCATGAAAATAGGACTAAAAATAACAAAAATATAATACTTTAAATTTGGCCAAAAATTTCTCTATCATTAGATACATAAATAATTTAAAATGTTCTAATTTCTTATAAGCTTTTTACATAAGTATCTATTACAATACTTCATATATACCTATGATCAATTTGGCAGTCTTTAAAATGATTTTGGCTTGATTATATACCAAGATAAATCCATTTTGGTTATGTACATCTTGTTCTAACTATACAAGGCTCGTGGGTTATGAACGAAACTATAGTTAGTACAGCGTTTTATTATTATCATTTCACCTTTGAACTTGCTATTGCACGACTTATGATCGTGGCGTTGCCAAACTAGTGCCCTTTTGCAGTTGAGTTACGCTAAAATTCAAATCGGCAATTTTACGAAACCGTCTGAGAAAATAAATCAAATACGTATTTTTCTGTGTTTTCGTGGTTTTGTCATTTATTTATATTATAATATATTATAAATAGTGTAACAAAGCTCTATTTTTTTAGATAATAAGTAATGTATTTTTTTTCAGTTTTGTGTACTCTTGGTAGCTTCGGTGGCTTCTGCCAGACCTCAAAGAGAAGAAAGAGGTTTCGCCAACCCAGAATACTACCACCAAAAGTCTCCATTAAATGACGTACCGATCCTCCATATGGAAGTGAGCAACAATGGAGAAGGAGCCTACAAGTTCGCATATGAGACTGGCAACAAAATTGCCCAACAAGAAGCAGGTAAAATGTGTTGATTTTTGGCAACTCTTTGACCTGATTAGCTATGTTTTAAAAAACTACGATGTTTATAATATACGAATCAATTAAATGTAAGATTTTTCTTGGAATCTCATGATGCTATTTGTGCCATTTCACACTATAATGCCGATCAGACATGTTTTCTAAGACAGGAACACAGAAGACGACTACCATAGATTTTTCTATCAATTGATTCAACAACCTAACAAATAGTACTGTGTAGTGAGTGTAATTTTTCTCATTTTGGTAAACACTTTTTCAAATAAGTATAATAACTTGTTCATTGCTTTCTATCTCATGGTTCATATTGGCCTTTATTATTTGAAGTAGTTGAGAAGTTTTTGGCATTTTGAAAAAGCGATCAAAAGATAAAAAACGTTGCTAAGACTATCAAAATGTTGATCTAATAACAATTTGACGTTTATACTATTACGTCGAAAGCAACTTTTTTCCAAAGCCTACCATGACTTCACTGAATCATCGTTTCTTGTTCACTGTTATTAATATCTTAATTATTAGATATTAATACATCTGGTATTACGGTATGCTGGTATTTCGTCGATTTTAAAATAAACTAACTGTTTCTATCTTATTTTTTTGTTAGAATGGAAATAATCAAGAGGGCTACTGATACCGTGTTGTAAAAATAAGGTCATTAAGGGCTTATTTTTTGGTATTTATTCTAATTTTGCTAATATCTTCGGTTTGAAAGAAGATATCAAGATGCGGTTTTCGTTAACTGATTAAGCTTTTACTACTCTTTACTATCAGCTAAAATTACATATACTATGGTATTTAAATTTTTTGAAAATACGCGCTGTTTGTTAAATTGTAAGAAAGCGCCCCCTAGCGTCTACGTTCAAAACCTTATTATTATTATTTTTATGGTATAATATACAGTAAGAAACGCTCTTTTAAACAAGCCCTCGTTTGTTGGATTCTGAGCATCCAGTCCGGACTTTTTAACATTTAAATAAAGATAAATCTAAACTTCCCCCACCACTTTATTTTAGCAGATACGGAAAACCGGTTCTAACAAAAAAAATCCAAAATTTACTCAAGATTATGAAGCTATTATTTATAGTACCCATTATCTAGGCAAAATTCTGTAAAAATTCTATTTTCTTATTTTCCATAGCAGCTGCGCCCTCTAGCGGCCGTTTTACAAACTTGAAAATAATTTCCGGCAATTTCTCATAGCCTCTTTAGTAATAAATATTTTCTTTCCGTAGGCCCTACGGCTAATACTTTCCGAGATACAGCCGAGAGCTATTCTTATTGGGACACCCTGTATATCTTTGCCCTTGCTTTGTTCATGTTCTCTATGCATTCTTTGACCAACTTCGAATTGATGGTTTCTTTATTGCTTGACTATCGAATAATGCTGGGTTCCTTATTGGTTCGAAGTACTTAGTTCTCTGGCCGTATAGACTTCTAACTGTGTTTCTGATCATTTTTTTCTTTCCCAACCAGGTGATGGAGCTACAGCTCAAGGATCCTATGCCTACACAGCACCAGACGGCCAGCAAATCGCCATGTCCTACGTTGCTGACGCCAACGGATTCCACCCTCAAGGTTCCCACGTTCCAGTAGCACCTCCCATGCCAGAACTCATTAAGAGGGCGGTTGAACAGAACTTAGCTGACGAAGCAAGAGGTATTTTCGATGACGGTCAGTACAGGGAGCAACAGGAAGCACTGCCTGTACCTGCCCTTCCTCAGCAATACCGAGTGTAAATGATATTTTGCGAAATTTTGCTTGTATGGTCATTGTAAATAGTGTAGGTAACGTGAAATTATTGTAGATATTTATTAGTGGTTGTCATAAATGTATTGTTCAAATGAAAAACTGTGTTTTTATTGCTTCTTTATAAAAGGTAGGTATTATCATTGTTGCCAAAGTCCCGCTTTTTCAAATAAATTGTCCCCTATTATTTGCCCCTTATAAAGTATAGTTTTTTTGAAAATATTAATTCTATAGTCCATATCAAATAAACTTTTAGTCACGTGGTTAAGCTTGACCGGCACAGCGTTGCCTACTTTTACATATTTTCTTTTAATCAAAATATTTTAGAAAACAAAAATAAATTAATTAGGTATAAATATACAGGGTCCGGCAATAGTGCGTCGGGCATCTGTAGCTCCTAAAATAGGAAGTGGAAACCTAAAGTACGTACGAGGATGTAGTTCACAAAAATATTTTAACTTCTATAGGGTGGCTCAAAAAAGTGTGAGTGGATCGGGATGATTTTTTTTAAATGGAACACCCTGTATATTATTGCATTTTTGGCTTTCTTTTAGATCACTTTACATTATCCTAAGATATGGGTAATTGCATTTCGATAATTTCAGAGATATTAATAAATATATAAAAAAAATATATTTTTCAACCTTCTTAAAAAAAATTATTACAAATACAAGAACTATCCTGAAATCAAAACTATATTAGGTATTTACTTTAGATGGTCTATACTTACTTTGCTATAAATTTGGTAATCTTAAATCATACACGGTGTTCAAAATTCTACGCCAAACTTTCTCAAATATAAAGTAATTTTCTTTGTTTTTTTTTTTTAATAGAACCCCTGTATATTCTTTTTTTATTAGATGGAGAGTTAAAAAATGAACATTTATTGTATTTAAAGTATTTCAAAATTTTTAATAGTTATTTATCATTTTAATGAACAGTGCTATAAAATAAAAAATTACGAAATAATATACATGTACTGATTTCTTTCGAAAATCGACAACTATGAAACTATGAACCCTTCCCGGACACAAATGGTACATTGTGAGACAGGAAATTGTAGAGAGAATCAAACCCTATAACATAGGATACAACCTTTTAATGAACAGTGCTCTCTAGAAAACCAATAAAATAAAAAATATACGAAATAATATACATGTACTGATTTATTTCGAAAAGCGACAACTATGAAACTATGAACCCTTCCCGGACACAAACGGTACATTGTGAGACAGGAAATTGTAGAGAGAAACAAGCCCTATAACATAGGATACAACATTTTAATGAACAGTGCTTTCCATAAAATGAATAAAATGAAAAATATACGAAATAATATACATGTACTGATTTCTTTCGAAAATCGACAACTATGAAACTATGAACCCTCCCCGGACACAAACGGTATATTGTGAGACAGGAAATTGTAGAGAGAAACAAGCCCTATAACATAGGATACAAAATTTTAATGAACAGTGCTTTCAATAAAATCAATAAAATGAAAAATATGAAAATGAAATATATACAATAAACAGTTAAAAAAAAAGAGAAAGAGAAAGAGAAAGAGAAAGAGAAAGAGAAAGAGAAAGAGAAAGAGAAAGAGAAAGAGAAAGAGAAAGAGAAAGAGAAAGAGAAAGAGAAAGAGAAAGAGAAAGAGAAAGAGAAAGAGAAAGAGAAAGAGAAAGAGAAAGAGAAAGAGAAGGAGAAAGAGAAAGAGAAAAAAAAGAAAAAGAAAAAGAAAAAGAAAAAGAAAAAGAAAAAGAAAAAGAAAAAGAAAAAGAAAAAGAAAAAAAAAGAGAAAGAGAAAAAGAAAACGAAAAAGAAAGAGCCAGAGACATCTTCCTCAGGCTGAAATACCAATGAATCTGTTGTTTTACATACATCTTTTGCAATGCAGGCAACCTCTAGGTTACGCCAATGGTCTGACCGATTATATGCGATAATAAATGATTAATTAATGTACCGCATTGTTAACACAGTTATTATTTACTTCAACAAAACTCACCTCCTTAACAGCACTTATGGGACATAAAACTACCGCTTTCCCGTTCAAAATATTTTAATAAAGTTGCGATGAGTTTTTCCCACGGCTATTAAGCTAACTTATACACTTCGCACTAAAAGAGGTTCTAAGAAAAAAAAAGGTAATTAGTAAACATTTTTAAGCTTAAAGTATAACAACACTATTTATTTAAACCAAAAACTTGTAATACGAAAAAAAAGTGTCAAAACGAATGATAGTGTCAGGAAATAAATAAATAAATGACTTGACATATTTTTACAGCAAAGCTACCACCTGAATCTCCAGCGCGAAATTTAGATTCCAGTTAGTCAACCTGGCGCAAAATATAGCGATAGTTGGCAACAATGAACTTAAAAATCCCTCGATTACGTAACTAAAAGTTTAATTGATATCAAATATATATTCCCAACTTAAGAGGTAGGTCTGTATACAATAGAACCATTCAATATTAAATCATTTCAGAAATAATGTAATTAATCCAATAAGCTTCTGCTTGTAGCACCTTCAATGATCTAACCTCTTAAATCTTTTTAAGAACAACCGATCCATTGTTAATTAAATACACTTGCGCCAACCTCATTAATTGCAAAATTGCGTTTTTGTTTCGTTTGAGAAAAATTTGAGAGCGATGAGGATGCTGCAATACGAAGATTCGGTTGCCTAGACAACAACCGTCCTTGGCAGTGCCGTAGGAGACCTAAGATAAAGCTGGAATTAAAACCAATTAAGTAAGTAATTAAGTAATACAATTATCTATCCAACAATTCATGTGGTCTTTTTTTGTTTACATATTTTTGTTCATTATTTATAGTGATTTACAGTATGATACGAATATTCTCGTTGATTATTGGTTTGAAATAAATATGAAAATGTCCTCCAATGAAAATGCGAGGTGCTTAACTAGAATAATTCTAATTCTGAGCTGGCAAATAAGAGAAAGAGAAAGAGAAAGAGAAAGAGAAAGAGAAAGAGAAAGAGAAAGAGAAAGAGAGAAAGAGAGAAAGAGAGAAAGAGAGAAAGAGAGAAAGAGAGAAAGAGAGAAAGAGAGAAAGAGAGAAAGAGAGAAAGAGAGAAAGAGAGCAAGAGAGAAAGAGAAAGAGAAAGAAAGAAAAAAAAAAAAAAAAAAAAAAAAAAAAGAAAAAGATAAAGAAAAAAAAAGAAAAATAAAAAGAAAGAAAAGAAAAAGAAAAAGAAAAAGAAAAAAAAAAAGAAAAAGAAAAAGAAAAGGAAAAAGAAAAATAAAGAGCCATAGACATCTTCCTCAGGCTGATATACCAATGAATCTGTTGTTTTACATACATCTTTTTCAATGCATGCAATCTTTAGGTTACGCCAATGGTCCGACCGTTTATATGCGAAAATAAATGATTAATTAATGTACCGCATTGTTATTAAAGAGATTCGCATTGATGATTACACGAAAATTCCGTGTTCTAACGCACATTGTTGATGTAGCACGTATATGGATATCGTCCCGCAGTATCTGATGTGTGTACAATAAAGGATTAAGGATATCCTTCTATCGCGATGAGGCTTGCGGATTTTCCTCGATCGAGGATTCGCTGTTGAAATTTGATTAATTTTTACTATAAATTACGCTTGACACGTCTTATTTTTCTTTATTTACTTCGATTAAGCTGAATGATTTTCAAGTGCAAGTATTATTCATATTAATACAGGATCTAATGTATATTAACCACTCAATAAAAATAACAATTATTATTAAAAATTGTCTTAAAATTAAGGACATTATATACAGGGTGAGACATCAAAAGGACTCAGACAGGGGTGCTATTTATCACCTACCTTATTTAAAATATATATCCAGGAGGCATTGAAAAACTGGAGAAGGAAGAATAGAGATTGACAGCCACTGTCTATCGACCTTGTTTTTTGTAGACGATTAAGTTATCATTGCAGGTTGTGAGGAAAATGCCGACTATATATTTAGGAAACTTACTTACTTATTTTGGAAGAATACGACTACCTTGGGACTCAATATCAACAAAAACCGAATACCTGAAAGTAGGAGAAGAACAAATTGAAGATCCTGAACTACACATACACTGAATACAAGTATTTAGGAAGTATTATATCTGAAGAAGGAAACTCCAAGAAAGATATACATAGTCTAGTTCAACAAGGCAAGAAAGTAATAAGTCTTTTAAACCCTCTCCTGTGGTCACGTAAAACATCCATCCAAACGGAAAGTTACGGATTTTCAAAGCAATCGTAGACCCAATTCTAACAAACGGTGCCGAATGCTGGTAATTTACATCAAAAGAAAGAAAGATGGTTGAGTCAGTGGAGATGGACTTTCTCAGAAAAGCATGCGGAATATCAAGGATGGAGCACATTAGAAATGAGAAGATCAGGAGAAGAACAAGGTAGAGAAAAAGTAGAAAGGCGCTTTTTCTAAAGTTAAATATCAATTATTAAGGAAGAACAAAATGTAGTCAAAATTTTATTCTATATTGAATAGTATTAATATAAAAGTATTATTAAAATAATAGAGTATATTTATTTAAAATTAATAACTATATGGTTGGCATTTGCACGGTTTTACCCATTAGAAAGTTACTTATAAACATACGTATTTACCTTAGGAAAAATATAAATATAGATGTACTCGTATTTATCAATGAATATGTTTATTTATAGCAATAATTTTATTTGGAAATACCTTTTTGAAGATACAATTTGTTTTAAGCCTATCAACTTCTTGCCTGTAATTCTGGTATAATTATATCTACTTTATTTCTATGTTCTCTATATTTAGCAAAAAAAAATACCAAAAAAATAATACACAAGCGGATGTAGATAATAATTTTTAAGACCCTCAAATGAAGCCCGAGGCAACAGATGAGTACAATAACATTGGCTTCTTAATTTTTTATAATAATATTTTGCTATATTCGTATATAACATCATTCTGTACTGCAAAAAAATAAAACCAAAATAATTTGGCTGTTTTTATATAGCTTACACTGAGAAAAATATTAAGTTCAACTCTAGGAATTGCAAAATATGCCTCAGAACCAAACTTTCAATAAATCAAGAATAATAAATCTCTAGACCATTTGAAAATATTTGCACTGTTTTAAGGCTCACCCTGTATAAGAAAGCCACTGGATAATCTGTGAGAATGGGTAATATATCTGGTATTTATCTTCTAGTTAGTTACAACTGAAATGTAGTCTGGCTAATGTGGAATATCCCGAAAGCCTTGTCAGACCCGTCGAACGCTCGTCAAACGCGCTAAAAAAATTAACCTTAAAAATTTGATTTACTTTTTTGACGAGAATGCTTATTTATAACAACAAAGACATTCATTTTCATAGCTTATTATTAGATTGATTTCTTATTCAAATTCACATTTATTTAGAATAATTTATTAACTAACAAAATTAAGTAATTAATTAATATTTGGGCGGAAATAATGGTGGTATTTTTAATTAAAAATACCACCATTATTTCCGTTAATTAACGGTATACTCTTTTACAAAGATTTAAATAGTTTTATTTTTGCAAACAAATGGGCTTCTATGTTATAGTTTTTAGGACCTGTACATTTTGTAGATTTGTTGCTTTAAAAAAACTCTAAAATGTCAATATTCCATGGGTATATTGATAAATGAGTCTAAATTATAGTAAAATTCATTTTCTACGAGAACTTGAAGAGATAGGTAAAAAATGGTTTAATCCAATTTGATAGACAATTAAATTGTGTATCTAATTCTCCTAAAATATACAGGATGTTCGATTCAAATTAAATAAGTTATTGCCGTTTAAAGCTAGAAATTATTTAAAATAATTTTTTAGACACTCTGTATGAGGTAGTATTATTTTTATTATTGCAACACAATAACTGAACAACAAATAAACTTCAGTAAATATTTAGTATTAAAAACTTTGATACCCTTGGAGATATGCAGCTTTAAAATTTTTTACTGCAATTTCACAAAATTGAAAATATTTCAAAAACGGTAAGGTTTCAGTGTGATAAACCTTAATCAAATTGACCTTTATTTTAATCGTAGAAACTAAAAATGTAATAATATACAGGGTGTTCCATTTAAAAAAATAGAACTTTAATATTTTTTATTTATTTTGAACACTCTGTATATTGGAAAAATATTTTTAGATTGTAGCTCTAATAGCCCTTCAACGAACCCAAAATTTACAATTTGTAAAAATCTGATCGTTTAGCTACTAACAGTACTCCGTGTCATATGTGGCGAACAACCCTGTATACAGGTAGCTAAAAAATTATGAAAATAAGGGTAAAACTAAAAAAAATTGTAGACCAGTTTTTTCTTAGTTGAATGTCTAAATTTACCAAAAAATCAATTCTCACAAATCTGTAATCGAGGTGTTTCAACACGTTTAGCGAATCTTCTTCTTTTAAACGGCGTAAAAGCGGTACAAGTCACGGCTGCCAATCATCCCGAGCCATCTTCCACTCTCGGCGCTTTGACGATAATTGGTCCAGGCTCACTCACACACGCTCAAATCTACAGCCCCGGGGCTAATACGCTCGTCAAGCCGTCAAGTGTATGTTTTTTAGCCCATACGCGACTCATCCTCAACGGTTTTGGGGGGAGATCCGGCGATAAGCCATTATAAAAGACAAAAGATGAGCCCGGTGCATCACATTTTGTCGTGGTGCATCCGAAACATCGTTTTTTTGCGCAGATATAGAGTCGAAGACGACGTCATGAAACAAGTAAGGCTCAGTTTCAGTTTCAGTCGTATAGTAGGTTAGGGGGGCTGTTTTTTGCGTTTGGGGGGTTGATAGTGTTTTGGAGTGGTGTTTGTGTACGAGGGATGTCGTGTTTTAGTGAAGAATATCGTGGATAAAAAATTGTGGCGTTTTTGATATACAGTATGTCTCCCGGATTGTGTTTACAAGAGGATTTTTTTTTATTATTAATGAGATTTTAAGAAAAATGCACTCTTCGTAAAACATGTTGCTTTGTTGGTAAATCCCATTTATACTTTTCCAAATTTCCTTACAGTTTTAGAGAAAATTAAAAAAAACAAGTTCTAAAAAATTAAAAGCCCTATCTGTGATGATATAATTATTTCTATTTCAATCTTTGATAGATGGTTATTTTTTTGCTATTGTTAAACTATCAACATTTTCCGATAAATTATTATCACTTTTTCCGTAGCATTGAACTAAATAAATTTTGTGCTTCTTTAATATTTTAAAACAGCAAAAAAAATGACGTTAATTAAAATTCTACCAAACAATGAAAACGAAATTATATTATCATAGAAACGCGTTTTGATTTTTAGGACTTGTTTTTTTTAATTGTTTTCTATAACGGTATGAAAATTTGAAAAAGTATAAGCGGAATTAACAATTTTAGAACAAGCAATTTTTTTTATGAAAAATTCATTTTTCCCAAAATTTTAATAATAAAAAGGTTTGTCCTCATGCATAGACAATCCGGGAACATACTGTATGTTTATGTTTTTGGGTATTGCATAATTACATTTAATAGATATATTACATGTACTATTTTTCTGGTTCTGAGCATGGAACCTACACCAAATTATACAGAGTTAACTATATAGGGTCTACCAGAAACATTTTTTATTATTAAACACAATTTGAAAATTTGCGATTTTTTTTTTATTTTTGAATTTTTTAAAATCATAATTAGTTTTGTTTTTAATTTTTGTTATATTTTATCGAAAAATTTTGAATATTGTTAAAGACTGTAAAATTACAGCGTTTTATATGTTTTTAATTTCCTGCCTAAATAAGAAAAAATAATGAAAGGTTGTATGTATTTTCTTCCAAATGGGTTATGATTTTTTGATATTCAAAATTTTTCAATAAAATGTCGCAAAAAATATATAAAAAGATAAATAAGAAAAAAAAATTTTTTTGCCATTGATTAAAAAATTAATTATTTGTATTTAATATATCTATTAATAACTATGTCCTATCTTAAAATAATTTAAATTTATCAGTTATAATAATATAATATTATAATTAAATATCAAATTAAATTAATATAGTAAAATTATGAAGTTTGAAAATAATTTCTGAATAATTTGTTTCTAAAAAAATATCTCTAAATTTCTGGTTTTGGTTATAAAAAATATAGAAAAATTAACATTTAATAGCAAAATAGTTGCAAAATGTATAGAGAATACAGAGTTCCAATAAAAAATAAAACAATTAAAAAACTCTAGATTCCTATGTAATAATAGAGTAATACTGCAAATATATCTTTCAAAAAAATAGAGCAAATATTTAGTATTTTTTATGAAAACGACAATTAAGTTTAAAAAATAATACCTTGAAAATTTTATAAAAAATTATAAAAAAATTGAAAAAAAACCTTTTTTTTATTTAAATATTACTTACTATGTTAATATAACAATTAAATAATAATAATAATTCATTGCAGCTGTATAAGAAAATAAAATCAAGTATTTATTTATCAAGTTTATGAATACCTTCCTTCAAAGAAAATTATCGTTAATAACCGAATTTCAATATATTTAAATGTCTATTTTGTAATGTTTTGGAGTCTTAAGAATTGTTACTTAAAAAAATAATATATTAAAAAACAAACTAAAGAGAAAAATTGAATGAAATAAAATAAAATTAACAAACATAAAAACAATACATGTCAAATTGTAATAAATAACATTTCATTAAATTCACCCAAGTCAAGATTATTTAACAAAAAAAATTGTTGTCTATTCTTCAGGCCCTCATCTCGCTGGCCTTATTTGGCCTGTGCGCCTGCGCGCGCCTCGACAACCTCCAGTACCTCCCTCCCTCCCAGAGACCCTCTGGAGGCGCTCCGGGAGGTGGCGCCGGAGGTTACCCCGGCGGACAAGCTCCAGGCTTCGGAGGCGGCGCTCCAGGATTCGGAGGACGCCCTCAAGGACCTGGAGGTGCTCCAAGCTTCGGAGGAGGCGCTCCAGGATTCGGTGGAGGTGCTCCAAGTTTCGGAGGTCGTCCTCAGGGAGCTGGAGGAGCGCCAGGTTTCGGAGGAGCCGGTGGAGCTCCAGTATATGGAGCACCAGGTGGAGGAGCCGGAGGTAAAGGATTCGGAGGTGCTCCAGGCTTTGGAGGTGGAGCTGGAGGTGCTCCAGGATTCGGTGGAGGTGCAGGAGGTGCTCCAGGATTCGGTGGAGGAGCTGGAGGTGCTCCAGGATTTGGAGGACAAGGAGGATACGCCGGAGGTTAGTATATCAGGCAGTTATTTAAAAAAGATCTCTTGGAGATATAAAGACAGCAATAGTTAGGGAACAGTTTGCCAGTTTTTTTTTATCAAAACGTGTAGAGTGTAGATATAAAGAGAATTATCTTCATATATAGAAAATTGGAAATCAAAGAGGGTACAATTAGTAATAATTATAACATTCCTTTAAAGATTTTTTTATAAATGTTTTTAATACACCACAGAAAAGGCAGTGTCACCCTTCAAATTTTTAATACAAGACTTAACTTCAAAGAAAATATAATTGAATTTACAATTAAATTAATTGTTTTCGGTTCTAGTAATACGAAAATCTAATAAATTCTAAAAATAAATGTAATGATGTAACGATAAATTAACACTTTAAACGCTTACCGCTATATCCTATTTGTTGTTATTAAAATATATAAATAAAAAGTTCCGTAAGTGTATGTTTCAAATTTTCACAAGAATCATTTGGTAATATTTTGTGGCAATACTTTGAAAACTACCAATATATGTTCAATTAGTAAAGACTTCTCAAGATATACAACTAAATAAGTGCGCATATTTTTTAAATACACTGTTTTATTAAAGTACTACAATACACTATTTTAGTATATTTCGACCCCATTATCACGTCTATGAAGATTTTTTGCAAAAAAAAATAATAAAAATTTATAATTTTCGAAAAATGTTTTTGATTGTTCAGTTAAAAATCGAAATATCTTGATAATATGGCATATTATTTCAAATTTTTAAAGTAAAATAACTCTTTTTTTACTTATTTGAAACACGGCAAAGAGAAAATCTGTTTCTTTTATCGAAATCTACCAACCCTCAAAATATGTCCACTTGTTTAAGTCTCGCCCTGTATGTATTCATTCTGTTTGTTTAATTTCAAACCTACATTTAGTTGCAACAAAGCCAATATTGAAAGAGATTTATTTTTTTCTAGATTTACTGTTGTTTTTAAGGATACATTCTCAAAAAACAAAAGTCTTCCACCAAAAAAAAAACTTGTAAAAAATAGCAATTTTATTACTATTATCTACAATGAAATTTGGTACACAACAAAGTAAATGATGAATTAACTAAAACTTTAAAGCAACAACAGAAATTGAACAGTTAATGAAACAGGTTTAACTATTACTTCTTGGTAAAATTAAACTGCTCAATTGAGTTGGATTCATTTCATATCCCTTTTGTGTATTATTTTGAATAGATTATTTTTCTTTTTGAGTAATTTATTAATGATGTGACATTAATAAGCATCATTTATACCGTATGATCAAAAAAAAATGTCGTCAAAGACGGTTGGGAATGACAATCGATAATAATTTTCTCGAGGTCAATCTCTACGCGTCATTTGCTAAAAATTTACATAAAACTTATCAAAAATTAAAACTTATTATAGAGGAAGATTAAAAAAAGAATAGAACGTTTCCATGCAGCCACACAATTCTATTACCAAAAAAAACTACACCAACTAAAAATATTTTTTACTCAAATAACGTCTAGGGTTTGACTTCGCCAAAATTATCATCGATTGCCATTTCCAAGCCATTTTTGACGCCGTTTTTTTTTCGATCGTATGTTAATATAGTAAATGAATTTATTTAAATCCTGATATTTATAGCAGGAGGTAAAGCAGGAGCAGGATCTGAAATACCAATCCTTCGTTTGGAGAATGTCAATGAGGGTGACGGTACCTATCACTACAGCTACGAAACCGGCAACGGAATCAGCGCAGAAGAACAAGGAGACGCCAGAGGAGACGGAACTAAAGCCCAAGGTATTACTATTCTTTAAAAAAATATTTTTTTTATTAATCATTTAGATTTTGGAGATTAAAATCGATAATTTGTTGTTCCAGGATCTTTTGGATACACTTCTCCCGAGGGAGAGCAAATTCAGCTCCAATACACCGCCGACGAGAATGGATTCAACCCTCAGGGAGCTCATTTGCCCACCCCACCACCAATCCCACCAGAAATCCAGAGAGCAATTGAACAGAACTTGGCTGATGAAGCTAGAGGTACGTTTTGTTGGCCGATGGTATCAAATGCTGATGGTATCAAAAAAACTAAGGGTCTATTGTATTCGACCGATTTCTCAATTATACAGGGTGTTTCAAAACAAATGCGAAAAACTTCAGGGGGTGATTCCTTGTTCAAAATAAAGGGTAGTTTGCTCCATAAACGTTGGGTCAAAAGTCAACCATTAGGGAGATATCGCGGTACAAAGATGGCGGAAAAATAATGTTCTTATTTTTTATCTTGAAAACGAAAAGAGATAGACTAATGAAATTTTATGGAAGCATTACTGATATGAAAACACACTTTCAGGTAATTTTTTTACTTTTTTAAAATGAGTGGAAGGGGTTGAAATAAACTACCCATATCATTCTTGTTAACGAAATTTAAAGAAAAATTTTATCAAACACATGCAAATGCTTTAATTTGGATAGTTTAGTTTGTTTAGTAACTTTTTTACCTCTTGTGTTTTTTTGATAAAGCTCACCGATTAGAAATTAAAAAATAAAATGTAAAGCATTACATGTCAGGACAAAAAACATTTTTAGATTAAGAATCTAGTGATAATAACGATAATAATAATCATCTAGATAATAACGTATTGCAGTAGAGTAATGTCAAATAAAATAATATTAGGAACATCCTAAAAAGTAACAGAGGCCGACTAGATTTTTTCCTAAAAAAATTACAGCAGCCCATAGATTCTTTATCAGAAAATGTTTTTGTCCTGACATGTAATGCTTTACATTTTATTTTTTAATTTCAAATCGGTGAGTTTTATCAAAAAAATACAAGAGATAAAAAAGTTTCTAAACAAACTAAACTATCCAAATTAATTTTTTGCATGTGTTTGATAAGATTTTTCTTTAAATTTCGTTAACAAGAATGATAGGGGTAGTTTATTTCAACCCCTTCCACTCATTTTAAAGAAGTGAAAAAATTACCAGAAAGTGTGTTTTCATAACAGTAATGCTTCCATAAAATTTTATTAGTCTATCTCTTTTCGTTTTCAACATAAAAAATAAAAACATTATTTTTCCGCTATTTTTGTACCGCAGTATCTCTCTAATGGTTGACTTTTGACCCAACGTTTATGAAGCAAACGACCCTTTATTTTGAACAAGGAATCACCCCCTGAAGTTTTTCGCATTTGTTTTGAAACACCCTGTATATTTAGATTTATATATTTAGATAATCTATCTCTTATATATTTAGATAATCTATCTCTAAAATGGGGCTCATTGTAGTCTATTGTTAGCTATGCGGGTCCAAGTTATCCCTGCTAATTCCCTTATCTCATGGCCTTATCTTAGTGTTGGTCATCTTCTGGGTCTATTAATTCCTCCTGGATACCATGCAGTAATTTATCTAGTCCATCTGTTGTTCTTCATTCTTGCCAGGTGTCCAGCTCATTGCAACTTGACGGATTTGATTCTGTGGAGTCAAATCCGTCATCTATTATCTGGGTCTTTTGTCGTATCAACTGTATTCTTTTAGGGTCTCTCTTGGTTATTCCCAGCACATTTTGTTCCATCAAGCGTTGTACGACCTGCAGTTTCCTTTAATGTCCATTTTAAGCGTCCAGAGGTTTCGCATGCATAGATCACGACTGGTAGTACCCACGGATCGAATGTTTTCTTCTATAGAAAATGACGAAAATGAAAGACATTCTAGATTTTAATATGACTGATTTTTATCAATATTACAACCAGTTACACCACTAATAGAGTCTGCATTTTAGGCATCGTAGACGATGGATCGTACCAACCCGGGCCAGAAGAGGGCGGTGCCGGTGCCGGAGGATATCAAAGAGGAGGTTCCGGAGGAGGGTACCCTAGCGGAGGCGGTGGAGCCGGAGGTTACCCAAGCGGAGGTGGCAGACCTGGTGGTTTCCCCAGCGGTGGTCAAGGAGGATACCCAGGAGGTAATTAACAGATTTACTAGATTTTATTTCCCATTTTTTTATCTTCAAGATTTTTAGTACACACTACAGGGTGTGTCTTAAGTAAGTTATTCGGGATTGAAATGGAAATAGTTTGGATATGGCGTTTGTCGCCTCAGCCTGAATATCTGTTGGAAATTTACTTATTTCCTTTTCCTTTTTTTTGCCGATCTTAATACCTGCCTACCTGTTGTTATGGTCGGCTAAAAAAATATTTGTTTAATATAAATATTTTTAAATTATAGGTAGAGGAACCGGATTTGGAGGAGGTGCTTCAGGTGGAGGCGCTGGAGGATACCCCAGCGGAGGGCCTGGAGGTGCATTCCCTGGAGGTAGTATTATTAAGACAATATAATAAAAAATCAATTTTAACGATAATTTTCCTTAATTTCCAGGAAGCAAACCTGGATTTGGTGGAGGCGCTCCAGGAGGCGGATACCCTAGCGGAGGTCCAGGAGGTGCATTCCCTGGAGGTAGAATTATCAAAAAAATACAATAAACAATTAATTTTTACGACTATTTTCCTTAATTTATAGGAAGCAAACCTGGATTCGGCGGGGGTGCTCCAGGAGGTGGATACAAACCTTCAGGAGGTGTAGGAGGACTTGGATCAGGACAATCTGCTGCAGGTGGTGGATATAGATATTAAAAAATTTGTACATAAGACAAAGAAAAGCATGATACTGATTTTAAGAACTTTTATTCTCTTGGCATGCACTTTTTAAAAATAACACAAAAATAAATATTTTTTTTGCCGAGAAAATAAATAATAATATGCATGTTATTTTAAGTAAATAAGAAAGAGTACAATTTTAAATATAAAAAACTCAATTTAAGGGAAACAAATATATATAGGGTGAAACAATTTTAAGAAATAAGGCAATAAAGAATACCTTTTAGACAAAAAATAATATCAGGGTGGTCTGAAATATATATAGAGGATTAGAAGCAGGTCAAATTGAGGTACTTCTTGACACACTCCACCTAGTGTGATACCTAATTAAAAATCTATGAAGAAAAATGAACAAAATCCTTATTATAATCATTGTTTCCTCTCCAGTCCTAGGATATATATTTTTTTTAACAGTATTTTTAGTCCAAAATGTATTCCTAATAGATTCTCTTCAAATTTTCACCCTGTATACAAAACAATTCTTGCCATACACGACGAACTCTATGTATTAATTAGGATATAATCTACTGCCTACTTTGCTTAGACGGTTACCACATATGCTGCCATTTTTTCTTAACTGTAAACGAATCAAAATAGTGATTGGTAAACGGAAAACTAAAAATCTGCATGTCATAGTGGTATGAATTACAAAAAGCTTGTTGCATGATCTTGAGGTGAACGCTGTGTTTTATTTTGTATTTACACCGTTTTTCTTGTGTATATACCTTGTGCAATTTTGTGTATAAAACGCTGAATAATATACGTTTTTTTTTGTAATTAGTTAGTTTGTTTTATTATCCGTAATTAACAGATTTACTAGATTTTATTTCCCCATTTTTTATCTTCAAGATTTTTAGTACACACTACAGGGTGTGTCTTAAATAGAGATTATTCAGGATTGAAATGGAAGTAGTATGGATATGGCGTTTGTCGCCTCAGCCTGAATATCTGTTGGAAATTGACTTCCTTTTGCCTTTTTGCCGATCTTAATACCTGCCTACCTGTTGTTATGGTCGGCTAAAAATATTTATTTAATATAAATATTTTTAAAATTATAGGTAGAGGAACCGGATTTGGAGGAGGTGCTTCAGGTGGAGGCGCTGGAGGATACCCCAGCGGAGGGCCTGGAGGTGCATTCCCTGGAGGTAGTATTATTAAGACAATATAATAAAAATCAATTTAACGATAATTTTCCTTAATTTCCAGGAAGCAAACCTGGATTTGGTGGAGGCGCTCCAGGAGGCGGATACCCTAGCGGAGGTCCAGGAGGTGCATTCCCTGGAGGTAGAATTATCAAAAAAATACAATAAACAATTAATTTTTACGACTATTTTCCTTAATTTATAGGAAGCAAACCTGGATTCGGCGGGGGTGCTCCAGGAGGTGGATACAAACCTTCAGGAGGTGTGGGAGGACTTGGATCAGGACAATCTGCTGCAGGTGGTGGATATAGATATTAAAAAATTTGTACATAAGACAAAGAAAAGCATGATACTGATTTTAAGAACTTTTATTCTCTTGGCATGCACTTTTTAAAAATAACACAAAAAAATATTTTTTTTGCCGAGAAAATAAATAATAATATGCATGTTATTTTAAGTTAATCAGAAAGAGTACAATTTTAAATATAAAAAACTCAATTTAAGGGAAACAAATATATATATAGGGTGAAACAATTTTAAGAAATAAGGCAATAAAGAATACCTTTTAGACAAAAAATAATATCAGGGTGATCTGAAATATATATAGAGGATTAGAAGCAGATCAAATTGAGGTACTTCTTGACACACTCCACTTGGTGTGATACCTAATTAAAAATCTATGAAGAAAAATGAACAAAATCCTTATTATAATCATTGTTTCCTCTCCAGTCCTAGGATATATATATTTTTTTAACAGTATTTTTAGTCCAAAATGTATTCCTAATTGATTCTCTTCAAATTTTCACCCTGTATACAAAACAATTCTTGCCATACACGACGAACTCTATGTATTAATTAGGATATAATCTACTGCCTACTTTGCTTTGACGGTTACCACATATGCTGCCATTTTTTCTTAACTGTAAACGAATCAAACGAGTGATTGGTGAACGGAAAACTAAAAATCTGCATGTCATAGTGGTATGAATTACAAAAAGCTTGTTGCATGATCTTGAGGTGAACGCTGTGTTTTATTTTGTATTTACACCGTTTTTCTTGTGTATATACCTTGTGCAATTTTGTGTATAAAACGCTGAATAATATACGTTTTTTTTGTAATTAGTTAGTTTGTTTTATTATCCTTAGTTAAGGTGCATTCCTTTGAATAAGAAGATTAAGTAAGAAGGACCATAAGATCGAAAAAAGGCGTCAAAGACGGCTGATAAGTAAGTAAATGACGTTTGGAGATTGACCTCGCCAAAATTATCTCGATTGCCATTCCCCCCAGCCATCTTTGACGCCGTTTTTTTTCGATCATACGGTATAATGCTATCTATGAATTTATGCATTACAGACAGAACTGACATCATGAACCCTCACTTTTCACACGAACCCTCTGAAGTTCTGTTTGACGTTTGAATTAGATTTAAAATTTTGCGAATTTGTTGCTTTTCTGAACTTAATAAAAGTTGATAAATTAAATCATGATATCAAACTACAAAGCATTATTATGCAAAAATATTCATCTTTTTGTATATTTTACCAGTATATTATCAAGAATTAAAAAATATGAATTGCAAATGAGTTTTATTGGTGATAAAACTTGAATAAAAATGTCCTCAACGAGAATTATCTATTCATAATTCTGTTTAAAAATAGATGAAAAGTATAAAATATATATTTTGTTAATACCGGTAGGTGTGAAAAACATCAATCATTAATTTTACTCTGATTTACTTATCAAACTGAATAAAAATCTTATATTCCTCTAATATACAGTGTTGTTTACTCTGCCTAGGCATAAAAGTAAAGAACTTTTACGCCAGACCTGCAAATTCCGGAAAGTTTTCTTATTACGGAATACGGTTCCTGAAAAATTCGGTTATAACTGTCACCCTTTACCAAACTAACCAGCACGAGAAGGCTGTTTTTTTTGGTTTTGTTTGTCAATCAATGTCATTTATGTGACAGAAATCAAGCAAATATTGGAAGTTTGAGTGAAATTCTTATTTAATTTCTAAAATTTGTAATAATATTTTGTATTTACATCCAAAAGCAATGGAGGTAGGCAGTAAAGGTAAATAAATTTCATTAACTAAATAGAATGACTTTTTAGGACCATTTAAACTTATCATGCAGCCATTGTTTCTTAAAGTCAGGAACATTTAAAGAAAACATAAAAAAACAAGACAACAAGTAATCGTGAATGTTTTGTAAGCTATAAAAATATAAATATTCATTAGATTTATTTATTTATTATTGATCTATTTTAATATTGGACTTGCAAATCTTCACCTGAGCTGTCTAACGAGCTTAACAGTTTATTAATAAAGTACTTTTCAGTATTAAAATCGATTGAAAAGAAAAAGCAAACGCAAAATTAGAGTACATGTAGAGGGTGGGTCAAATTCGACGCCTTTAAATGGAAACACCCTTTTCTATATGAGATAGACGAAAACTAATATCGGTGTCTGGAGCTCAATTTTCATCAAAAACATGATGGTGGAAACCGCACATCAATATCTGTTACCGTTTCGGAGTTACGGGGTGTTTTTCAAAAATGTGCATTTTTAACAAATCGCTGTAACTTTTTTGCAATGGAAAATTTTGTATTTCTATGAAAACATTTTCTAAGCACCTTTTTACGTAGAATTTAATGGTTTAAGTATAATTTTTTTAAAATTAATAATTTAAGAATAATCAACAGAAAAATTTATTTTTTATTTGGGACACCCTCTATATTTTTAATTAACTGGAAAGAATTTAAAATTACCTTTCCAAAAATATAGCACACTTGATATTTTGTTATAATCCCCTTCGAAATACAGAATATTTAAACGTTGGCCACTTTTAACTAGTAGGCTTTGGACCCCTTATTGATGATATGCTTTTAATGGAACTCGAAAACATATTTTTCCAGCAAGACGACGCACCGCCTCAGAACACTGAAGTTATAAGCAAATGTTTGCAGCCAATTTCAAGAATAATTGAATAGCTAACCAAGATCCCAGCCGTTGGCCGTCGAGGCCGCCTGACTTAGTGCCCATGGATCTAATCCTATGG